ATAGTTATTTTGTGAATTTTATGTTTGTAGGAATTTGGTATACGTTATCAGGTAATTTCATATATGTTCTTTTTACCGGGTTTAAAGATTGAGAAAATTGTCATGTATTTTCGTGAAATTTTTCTAATTTATGAGAAAAAAGCAGTGTACATGGATGTAGTGAAGAGTGTGCGCAATGCCATTTTTGTGCAATTCTGGGATGTTTTTTTTAAGTAAAAATAAGTCGACGTGTACATGGTTTAGTGATATTTTAATTAAATGATAGTTATTTTGTGAATTTTATGTTTGTAGGAATTTGGTATATACGTTTAAGTTGAAGTAAACGTGCATGGAAATAATTTAAATATTTCATATTAAGTACTTGTAATGCTTGCGGTATGAATTCGTTGGTGACGTGTATAATGTAATAGATGATTTGGAGGTAAAAGTTTTTGGATATTTTATTTATTTTATATGTGGAAATGTTCATATTTGGAAAGGGTAAATACTTTTTCGCGATCAGGTAATTTCACATATGTTCTTTTTACCAGGTTTAAAGATGCAATGCCATTTTTATGCAATTCTGGGATTTTTTTTTAACTAAAAATAAGTCGACGTGTACATGGTTTAGTGATATTTTAATTAAATGATAGTTATTTTGTGAATTTTATGTTTGTAGGAATTTGGTATACGTTTAAGTTGAAGTAAACGTGCATGGAAATAATTTAAATATTTCATATTAAGTACTTGTAATGCTTGCGGTATGAATTCGTTGGTGACGTGTATAATGTAATAGATGATTTGGAGGTAAAAGTTTTTGGATATTTTATTTATTTTATATGTGGAAATGTTCATATTTGGAAAGGGTAAATACTTTTTCGCGATCAGGTAATTTCACATATGTTCTTTTTACCAGGTTTAAAGATGCAATGCCATTTTTATGCAATTCTGGGATTTTTTTTTAACTAAAAATAAGTCGACGTGTACATGGTTTAGTGATATTTTAATTAAATGATAGTTATTTTGTGAATTTTATGTTTGTAGGAATTTGGTATACGTTTAAGTTGAAGTAAACGTGCATGGAAATAATTTAAATATTTGATATTAAGTATTTGTAATGCTTGCGGTATGAATTCGTTGGTGACGTGTATAATGTAATGGATGATTTAGAGGTAAAGTTTTTGGATATTTTATTTATTTATATGTGGAAATGTTCATATTTGTAAAGGGTAAATACTTTTTCGCGATCAGGTAATTTCATATATGTTCTTTTTACCCACCGGGTTTTGAAGATTGAGAAAACTGTCATGTATTTTCGTGAAATTTTTCTAATTTATGAGAAAAAAGCAGTGTACATGGATATAGTGAAGAGTGTGGCGCAATGCCATTTTTGTGCAATTCTGGGATGTTTTTTTAAAGTAAAAATAAGTCGGCGTGTGCATGGTTTATGTGTATGTGTTATTTTGAAAATGCGTAAGGAGTATGGTATTGTGCACTTTTTCCCAATTTTGCAGTGAATATTTTGTCATGATTAAGTAGTTTTGTTAGATAAATTTCTAGCATAAGTGTAATTCGGCTAGTAGATTGTTGGAAGAAGTGTTCAGTAGATAAAAAGAAAAGAAACATGTCTTTACTTCGTGAAGACAAAATGGCGGCGGGAAAAAAAAAATAGAGGGTTGCTGTAGGAGAGTTGGTCGCCAAATTTTCGCCAAAAAAACGCCAAGTTACCATAATGTAAAGATCAACCCCGATTTTATCTAACAAAACTGCTTAATCATGACAAATGTTCACTGCAAAATTGGGAAAAAGTGCACAATACCATACTCCTTACGCGTTTTTCACAATAACACATACACATAAACCATGTACACGCCGACTTATTTTTACTTAAAAAAATCCCAGAATTGCACAAAAATGGCATTGCGCACACTCTTCACTATATCCATGTACACTGCTTTTTTCTCATAAATTAGAAAAAATTTTACGAAAATACATGACAATTTTCTCAATCTTTAAACCCGGTAAAAAGAACATATATGAAAATTACATGATTGCGAAAAAGTATTTACCCTTTACAAATATCAACATTTCCACATATAAAATAAATAGAATATCCAAAAACTTTTACCTCTAAATCATCTATTACATTATACACGTCACCAATGAATTCATACCTCAAGCATTACAAATACTTAATATCAAATATTTAAATTATTTCCATGCACGTTTATTTCAACTTAAACGTATACCAAATTCCTACAAACATAAAATTCACAAAATAACTATCATTTCATTAAAATATAATTAAATTCAAAAACACTACTTAAAATATAAATGAGCACATACATTAAATTAAAAAAAATTACCTTACAATCCTAATTACTTTAAACTAAATCATTGCTAATAACAATTTTCCCAATAATACCAAATTCCTTTCCACCTTACATTTACAACAATGCATAAAAATAAAATCATCAAATAATTAAAAATACTAACTTACCTAATCTTCTTCAGAATCTTGATTACGTGGCGGATACACTTTTCTTACTTCTGTTTCAGAATCTTTAAAATCATACTTATCTTTCAAAGCAAGATACCAGGTAAAATAAATAACATAATAAAACATCTTTATTTCTCTCTTGCACAACCTTAAAAACATTTATTACTATCCTTTTCAATACCACTAAATACCCATTTCGAATTCACTTTAGTTACGGCCATGGGATCCAAAAATTCACAAACACTATTTCACACAACACAGAATAAAGCCAAATACAAAATTGCCAGATTTTTTCCCGATTAAAGAACAATAATTCGTCCATTAATATCACATAACATATCCCATGATCTCTCATTTCCCTCACACAAAATAATGCGTAATCAGAACTGAATACTGCTCACATTCTTAACAAAGTCTAACTAACCTAATCTTCTTCCGAATCTTCCTTACATGGTGGATACACTTTTATTATGGATTCAATAAAATTACTGAACGATTTTTTTTTCCGAATTTGATAGAAAAAAATTCTCTTTATCACATCTACAATTCACTTTAGACAGCGCCATACAATCCCAAAATTATTCAACCCTACTTCACACAACACACAATGAATCTTAATACAAAATAATATACATTCACAGATACTTGTCCAGATTCCCCCCTTTTCCGATTAAAGAACCGTAATTCGTCCATTAATATCACATGACATATCCCATGATCTCTCATTTCCCCCACACAAAATAATGCGTAATCGGAAGTGAGTACTGTTCACATTATTACCTCCAAAATGTCGCCAAACTACCAGTTACCATATTGTAAAGATCAACCCTCTCTTTTTATTTCTTATTCTTACTTCTGAAGTGAAGAAGTGTTACATCTATATGTCGAAAAATATGGTCAATATGTGTTTGCAAAATCCTGTTCAGTTTTGGACAGCATTTAAATAAAATAAATAATTTGTATATGATGCAAACAAAAATGCATTACACTATTTCATGTAGTGAATAGTTATCAGGGAACAAAGTATAATGTAACGTTCTTTTATATTGTAACCAGAGTTTTTTTATGTTTGGGATTTTTACTGTCAATTTCCCCATCCGTTCTCCCAACAAAATCTAAATGAAGTTTTTAGTTTGTAAAACAAACCGTATTTTGCCTTTAGAGGCCATGCTACTAGGTTGCTAGATAAGATAAGATTTGTAGTCTTCAGTCCTGTTTATAATTGCTGGTAGTTGAATTCCGTGCTGGTTACGTTTTGAACCAACTTTGCATTAAATTGATTTGTGTAGCCTTTGGCTACAAATTTATTTGAATTTAAATTTTACATTTGAACTTAATTCTTATCATAAGTTATCTTGCCACAAGTGGTTGACCGAGTCATAAGCACAAAGTGTGCCTTCTGTTCAGTACATTTAATTTTTTAATAGAATAAGAGCATATCTTAACTTAATAAAAATATATCTAAACTTTATAATAATTACATTTAAAGACATTGAAATCGGTATCTAATTGCTTGCCATGTAATCAAATGTTTATATGTAAATTTTACTCTTACTTTTATTATAGAATTTTTATGACAAAAAATTCAGATTTCTGTTAGATTAAATGTTTAAGTAATGTAAAAAATGTGCATAAAATTTAAAATAAAAAGTCGAATGTGATGTCAACATAACTATTAATAAAAGTAATAATACTCAGTGAAGGTTATTCATATACAGCTATTAGACTGTGAGATTTATAAAATTTGAGAACTGTAAATAAGCAATATATTCCATAATCTAAGCAACATTATACTTTTTATAGTCGGACAAATTATAAAAATGTTTTAAAAGCAATAATGAAACCTAATTCTGGTCTATGAATTCATGCAATTACACATCCCTATAGTTCTAATTTAAGGAATGAGACAAAAAAGTATTTTTAGACCATGGTAATTTTGATCATTGCCCATTTTAAGAAACATCTAAAAGTCTAAATTTGCATGTGGTTCCTTAGCAAAGGAAACACCAAGAGTTTACCTCATGCTACTAAAAATGTGTTCTTTTTTTTTGGGGGGGGGGTGGAATTTATAATATGCAGAGTTGACATATCACATTCAGTTTTAACTATCAAATTTGGCTCTTTGTGCTTTACTAACATGAAAGTAACTAAGAAAAACATGCAATTTATCCCTCCTGCCATCAAGGCTCTGACCAAATTCGTTAAAGTTACGTGGACAGAAATGGCGGAATGTTTTTCAGCTCAGTATTTAGGATTACCATAAATAACAAAGTTATCATAATCTTTCATTTATCGCGACAAAATGTCGACAAAAATATTTATCGCCAAAAAGGACTAATACTAAAGCTGTGCCTGACCCGTTTATGTCCCGTTTTTACTGATCATCATAGAAGACGCCAAAAGTAGCGAAATCCCGTGCGCACCGGACACTAGGATTAGACCCAAAAATGCTCTATTTCACATTCTTATGTGAATGGATTTATTACGAAAAGTAATCCTAACATTACTATTGCTCAATTACCTATCATCATATGTACTCCATGCATTCCTTACAGCTCTTTTATATAAGCTACAAACTTTTTGAGCATGAGTCTTTAGAGTCACTTGCAAATGACGAGGAAACACAACCATCTTTCTCAAAGGCAAATCAAAAACTTTCAGACGAACAGACAAAGTAGACAAGAAGACAGATGTCTTGTTTTGCATCCGCTAAATCTTTTGGCATCAATGGGCGAAAATCAAGCTGAGGTGCGAAGGAAAAGTAAATAGTAAGGTAGTATATAGAAACACAGATCGTATTTTATTCTCGAGTGTCAAGATGTAAAATCATTTTCTTACTCGGCTTCTGATAAGAATTAGGGAGAAGGAGAAAGAAGAGTCTGGAAGGAGGTGTGGGAGGCAGAAAAAGAGGGTCAGGTCTGCGCTAGCGGCGGCGAAAAAAGAGGGGGTAAGTTCAGGGTCGTTATAAGATGTAGCCGCGGGTGGTACACCGCAGAGTCAGTTTAGCGTGAATGAGTTAATTAAGGTTGTAATTCTTATGTGGGTAGGATTTCACATGGGTACCGTTGTTTTTTACTGGGATGCGGGGGAGTGTCTCAGAGTGCTAATAAGGCTTTTACAGTGGGTTTGTACTGAATAAAAGAAGTTGACCGCTAATCGTTTAATATACTCTTGAATAATCCGCCACCTAATTACTCATAACTTTAATTTTAACAATAAATCTTTGGGTTCTAATCTTAGCAAAAAGGAAAATGAGATCTTACGTGAAATTCATTCTGATACTAATATCATTATCTCTAAAGCTGATAAGGGCGGACAGATCGTTGTTATGGACAAACACACATATATTACTGGAGTCTCTAAATTGATAAATGAAGGCCCATACTGCTCGATCCCTAAAGATCCTTCAACTTCGGACCTCATGAAAGTAAAAAGTGCTATTAAATCTTCCCACATTCTGCCAACTCAGTTGAAGAAATCACTTATTCCGCCTATTACTAATTGCGCTAGACTTTATGCTCTTCCAAAAGTCCACAAAACCGGTATTCCTTTTCGACCAATTGTTTCCAACATAGGTACTGCTTCATATCCTTTGGCCAAATATTTAGTTTCCAGATTTTCTCCTCTACTTGCTAACAATATTCACACTGTAAAAAATTCTGTTGAAGTCATTGATAAACTTAAAAATATTTCCCCACTTCGTTCCATTATGGTTTCATTTGATGTCAAATCATTGTTTACTAATGTTCCGGTCGAAGGAGCACTAAATTGTCTTGAAACTAGGCTTCGGGAATTTCACTTCACACATACTGAAATTAATGAGTTGGTTTCGCTTACTAAAGTTTCTCTAAGTCAAACCCACTTTGTTTTCCAAAATGCATATTTTCGTCAAGTTGAAGGATTGGCTATGGGTAATCCTTTTCCTTTCCTTTTCCCACTATTGCCGTGTGTAGCTTGCTGATAGCAAGCTGTATACCGGCTGTCATGAATTAAAAAGTACATTGCAGGTATAGCAAATGCTTGACTGTGTCCGGAGGACAGGATGCAAAATGAAAGAAGGTGTGACTACTTTGTCACGTGAGGCTATAGCGGTGTCTGGTAGGCTGGAGAGATGCTGGTCCGAGTTTCAGGTACAGTGTGCATTTTTACAAATATTCAGTGCATAAACTCATCAAAGTGCATTTTTCTCACAACTAGAAAGACTATATACAAAAGTAAAATTCCGCAGGGAGTCCAGCAGAAGCAGTCAAAGATATCTCTTAGTAGAGGTCTTTTGATTGGCTGTTGAGACGTGTATGCGAAAATCATGAGAATTTGCTATTTACAAAATATTCAATTGCAGAGACATAAAAACATACTTTCCAGTAAACTAAAAGTTAAATTAAATAAAATAAAAGAAATTTGAAACCAATAGGAGCAGTGAGAGATCTACAGTAAGCAGTAGAAGACTTTAGTTCGTAGTCCCGTGGGAGGTCACCCTCCCGTGCCTTGACCCCGATAGTGGCTGCTTAACTTTAAGCATTTCAGTTTTCCAAGTAAACACAGGGTAAAAACTTAGGTTGGAAAGTTCTGATTTTCATTGAGGATAAATGCAGTAAATGGTCTAAGGTGCCTGTCTTCGTGCAATATTTCATATTCAAAGAGGTTAAATTGACGCATATGATTGCAGTCCTGGGCTTCTCTGAAGAAATTCCGATTTTGCTTTGCGATGAACTTATCTAAGGGGTCGATCTTGAGGTCATCTTGTAGACACTTATTTGTCACGAAATAATGAGCATTCGTAATAATCCTGAGATAGCGGTTCTGCACAACACATAATTTATTGAGGTCAGTTTTGGTCAGGGCGGCCCACGCTGGGGAGGCGTAAGTCATGATCGGTCTGATCGCAGACGTGTAGATGAGCCGCTTTTTTCCCAGGTCGAGAGTGGAGTATTTACCAATAATTGGGAAGAGACATTTGATAATTTGTAAGGCCTTATCCCTGACGTAATTTATATGGTTAGTCCACGTTAAGCGATCATTTATAATCACTCCGAGGTACTTGGCATGGGGAACAATTGGAACAATTTCGTTAAATAGATAAAGTCCTCTTTTGACAGGTGTGTTCCTTTTATTTCTGCGTATGAGGAGAAGTTGAGATTTGGCTGCGTTTATTTGGACTTTCCATTGCGCGCACCATCGTTCAATGCTAGGAATGACATCTTGTAGTTTTTTGATGGCGTGATTCATATTAACAGACTTTACTGCCAGGGCAGTGTCGTCTGCATAACAGGCCAAAATAGCGTTATTTTGAGATGCTTGAGGAAAGTCAGCAGCATAAAATAGATACATATAAGGTCCTAGAACTGACCCTTGCGGAATACCGCTATGGATATTTCTAGACGAGGAGATAGCACCGTTCACACAAACACAAAAAGTCCGGTTTGTAATGAAGGAGTGAATTGTCAAGATCATTTCTCGGTCCACGTTAGCAGTAATTAATTTGGATATGAGCCCCTCATGCCAGACGCGGTCGAAGGCTTTCGCCACGTCCAACATGAGGAGAGCAACACTTTGTTTGTTATGCAAAGCAGAGCCACAAAAGTCAGTAATGCGTAACAACTGCTTCGTAGTAGAAAGGTGCTGGCGGAAACCAAATTGTTCCGGAGGCAACATGTTTAGATAGGATTGCATACGTGAGAGAATAATGCGCTCATAAATTTTTCCGAGCACAGGCAGGAGACTAATAGGTCGATAGCCATCTGGTTTCGTGTGGTCCTTTCCAGGTTTAGGAATTAAAATAATTTTTGCACTTTTCCACTGCTGTGGAAAGTAGGAGTTAAATAAACACGCATTTAAAATGCTAGTGAAATTCGCTACTGCACAGGGAGGTAACATTTTAACTGCAGTATTAGAAATGCCATCATTTCCGGGAGCTTTGCGTGATTTGAGTTTTTTAATAATTTGAGACACTTCTACAGGGGTAGCAAATTTGGGAATATTTCGTGCTGTGGGGGCATTTAGCCAATCTTTCACATGAGTAAGGGTGAAAAGTTCAAAGTTTCTGTCCACAGGCCAATCATTTGGCGTAAATTGTAGTTCCAAATGCGAGGCGAAAACATTTGCTTTATCTTCATTTGAAAGGGCAACAACTCCGTTATGGAAGATGGGACGATTGGTAACAAAATTTGCTTTGAGGTTTTTTATTAAAGTCCAAAGAGATCCGTCACGGAAATCTAAGTTGCACATTTTTTCACACCAGAGTTCGTCCTTGTGTTGCTTCACAGCAGTTTTGATGTCCCGGTTTAGGCGATTTATCGCCCTTTTGGCGACAGGATCCCAGGTAAGGTTGTAAATTTTTCTGAGGCGATTTCTATGCCTCATCATTTGACGTATTTTAGGCGGCAGTCGGAAGAGCGTGTTTGTATTTACAACTGTATCACTAGCATTTTCAATAGCCCTTTGAATTTTTGAGGTAAATGAGGATACTGCAGAGTCGATGTTATCAACACAGATCAAATTTCTGACATCAAGAACACTGTCTTTCATGAAGAGTTCATAGCGCTGCCAGTCAGTAATTTTCCTAGTGGAAGCAGTATTACTTTTGTTCACTCCTAAAGTAGCAATGATCGGTAAGTGATCCGAGGATAGTTCGTGCAATACTTCAAGCGTGATAGGGATAGTTGTGGTGGACAAAACAATATCCAGAATGTCGGAATATTCTATTCTGTCCGGGCGATAAGTGT